CAAGGCACAAAAACTGATGCTAAAAAGGAGGCGAGTAATAACTTTGGTGGCCTGATGTAGACATTTTTTGGTTCCATTTTGATATGTTTCAACTGTCCGCATAAATGTGGCTGTTACATGCACGTCGGCATGAATTTTGTTTGGTCACAAGTAAAACTGACAAGTCAGTTGCAGTATCTAGTCCACATGATATTTTCAAAAGTGGCTCGTAAAAGCTGCTCTCATTTTCAAATATGTAGAGGCTGTGCAGTCCAACTACTGCAGTTAGTGATGTCTGAAGCCAATTGTCTGATAGCCAGACACACACAAGCCTCATGTCAGAGACTCTGGGATTGTAAGAGTTCCATTCTTGGCTATTGTGGCCCTCCAAGAGACATCATTTCATGGATACAGTCCTGCGTTCACAATGCCTGACTTTGCAATCTTGCATGGTGTTGTGCCAAATGGTTTCTCCTTTATGCTGCAAAGACTGCAGACCCTTCAAATTGTGCTCTTTCATAACGAGAGTGAAAACCTGACTCAAGCAGCACAGGAACAGCAAGCCTGGATGCACCTCAGCTGAGACCTTTTGAAATATAAAGTATCAAATCTAAAGGGTTTTTGGCCTTTTTTGTAACTGATCCCCCCCCCCGGAACCACAGCCCTTGGCTAACTCTATCCAATCAGATGGCCACTTCTGTATTCTCTTGCTTTGCAGTCACTACACCTACCCTCCCTTGTCAAAATTCTGACCTGTACATTTGAATAGCCAGACACAGCCTTGTCAATGCCTTGATCAAGTGAAATGCTTCCCTTTTTGAAGTCCATCTTGAAGTGAGCAAACATGTACATTTTGCTTAACCCATTATAGCAACCCTACTGTGGCCCCCAAGTTTTGAATGCTTTGCAGCTTTGTAAATGATGTCATTATACATCCGTTGCTGCAGGGTCCCTCTCAATTGGTCCTGAGCCTGTAATCAAGGACAACCTGAATTTAATCTGTGGCTGTACTGTTTGTGTTCATTCCCTTGTGGTCCTTCAATCAGTGGGCCTTCTTGTACCCTCCCAACCTGTCATAGTTTGTACCACACCAATGACTGGGTGACAGCCAAGGAGTCATGTTCTAATGAACCGCAGTTACGGTAGAGAGCATATCTCATACTGTATGCTAAGTGGAGAATATTTTGTCCACAAACACCTTCAACAGGTGTTTCATAAATTTATCAATGAAGTAGTTCGAATTGACACCTTGTGGCAAAATATCTTGCTCACGAAGATAAAGACCCATCTTCATGTTTGTTGAAAATGTTTATAAACCTTGGCTGACAAATTTGTAGATTGATCCTGAGTCTGATCATCAGTCATGTGTACATTTCAATGAAATTTGTCCTCAAAGTATCATCACTGACCACAAATTCAGTGTTTATTTTCACAAGGGAGATCTGTGTTGTTAGCCTTAGATTAATTGCAGCAATTGCTGTTTCCAGATTCCAATCTGTCCCATAGTCAGCAAATTTAAATGACATTGAACTGCGGGCACAGTAGAGGATCAAAATGATAATTGAAGAAATACGACCTGGTATTGCCTTGGACTGAAGACTATCATGCTCCATGTACCAGATCTGAAAATACAAAGAGCAAAAGAAATAAAACGGGGTGAAAGTCAACCATATCCTTGAAAATACCTAGGAAATGACTTCCACTGTTTGCTTTTCATAGAACATTTTCCCCCCCTCCAAAAAAACACCTAGTGGCGTGCAAAATACAAGAAGCAAAGAGTTTATGTTTGTTTAAGATTTTCCCATTGTCATATTTCCAAAGACTAAACCATCCTCTGTAGAAAGGGAACAATTAATAGGATGCCAATGAAATAGTACTCTTGACATTAGGAAACCAACCAAAGTGTGCAAGCTACTTTTAAAATTCACAATGGAGTTAATTTTTTTTTTACGGACAAGAAAATAGCTTCTTTTATAACCAAGTGTACGATTTTTGGTCTTGAAGTCTTTGACAAAGCACCAGTAGCCATTCAGATTTCCTAGTTGTTTGTATGCTGA